AACTATTGACCTTTTTAAAGATATAATCTCATCCCGATGTTACACTCATCAAGACCTTTCATTTGAGTACCTACATCAATTTTTCATATATTTATATATATGTATATATGAAAAATATTTTAAAAATGCATGTGGGTACTCAAATGAAAGCTCTTGATGAGTGTAACATCGGGATGAGCTTATATCTTTAAAAAATTCAATATCTAAAAAAGTACAGGGCAATTTAACAAAACAAAATTTTAATTTTTTATAGTTCACAAGTCACGGCAGTCACACAGTGACTGTAGGGATGATAGTATAATATATTTAAAATCCGTACCTTTTGATACAGGGGGTGGATTCTCAGGAATCGTTGGTTGTACCCCATCGATACAGAGCCAATGGGCCCGCAAAGTCACATCCAGTGGCAATTTTGGTAATGCTGGTCCACTGGCCATCGAAATCATCTCCTGCAAATCCAGTTCTTTGTCCTCCACAAAATGCAGTTCGCGACCTCCACCTGACGCGAACCGAAACGGGATGTGCTCCTTGGCGAAGAATCCATAGGTTGGCTCAATATTTTTTATTTTAAGCGCATTGTCAATGTCGTGGGTAGTTAATTTTTGGCGTTTTCCGTGTCGCATAAATTTTGCCGCATCCTAAAAATGAAATATTTTTGATAGTTAATTAATAACAATAAATTTTAATATAAATTCAACAGATAACTGGCAATTTAATAGATTTTTATATAAATAAATTTATGAAAATTAATTTAGCAGATATTTTATAATTTTAAGAATTTTTTCAACAAATAAATTATGTTAAAGAAAATGGCAAAAAAAAATGATATTTAGAAAATAAAAAATTCAATTTTTTAGAAATAATTTTTCGGAGCAAATTTATTTTATTAAAAAAATTAAAAAATGCTCAAGCGATTGCTAACTTTAATGTTATAATAAATTCGTATAAAATTTTTTTTTAAACTTTTACAAATTAAAACGTCAAATAAAAATGAAAATTAAATTAGCCGACATTTAAAAATTTTGAGAATTTTTTTATTACAAAAATTATTGCAAAAAAATTGAAAAAAATCTTCATTTGTAGAAAACTTTAAAAACTCTAAGTGCAATTTTTAAAAAATACGTTTTTGTTCTTATTTAATTAATGGATAAAAAATTAAGAAAATAAAAACGTCGGCTAACTTTAGTATTGTCAAATAAAAAATACGAAAGCAATTTTTTCGTACTATATAATTTATTTTTCAAAGAAAACCTAAAAATGATCAGGTGCTTGTTGATTTCAGGAATTTGTAATTTACAGATTAGATGTTGATAAAAATAGCAAAATAAACAAACTAATAAAAAAATATGCATTATTTAAAAGAATTTTTGGAATTAAATGAATAAGTTAACTAAATATTAAAGTAATACCTGAATAATTTCTTTAAGTCTATAGCTGACGTCCTCAGCAAGATCTTTTGCCGCCTCATCAGGGAGGTTACCTACGCCGATACTCTCGGCAATCACTTTCATCGATTCTTGGGACAATGTTGTTCCATAAACTGAATCACTTTCGGTTGACATTTTGTGTTTTATTTTTTTAATATTTAGTTAATAAATATTGTAAATTTTAGATTTGTTATAATCTAGTTTCACTCAGCTTCACTCGATACTTAACACACTGTTCAACGGTGACTGTTACTGTTGTTCGTTTTATTTATTGCTACTGCTACCACCCCACTCCGACTAATTAAACTTAAGGCGGATGCTTATGTTTGTTAGATAGATGTCGCTTCGACTGTCACATGTAAATTGAATATAATTCACCTTTAGTTTTTTAAAAAATATTTAGCGGAGGTGATAAAAATTTATTAAATAATTATAAAAATTAATTTTTTCACAATAAATTAAAAAATAAAATTAAAGTTCATTTATTAATAAATATGTCACCGTAAGTTTTAATAAAATATTCATAAAGATTTAATTGTCAATATTTTTTTCTAATTTTTTTTTTCCAAAATTTATTTGTATATAACAAAAATTATTAAATATCTGCAAAATTAATTTTCATTCAAAAAAACTATTTTTAAAAAATTGCATTTTTTATTTTTCTAAATTTATAAATGTCAATTTTTTTTCTCATTTTTTTTGCTATAATTTATTTGTTATAAAATTTTTTAAATTATTAAAAATATATTAAATTAATTTTTTTTTTATTTTACTTTCTAAATTATGTTTAATTTATCAAATTTTAGATTAAAATATGAAACATCAATTGACTAACATTTAGCCCATAGAAGGCATGGAACACCTGCAAATATTTGTCAACATCAACAAATACAATGAGCATAACCTCAATTGAGTTGACACCTGACAGTTTTATAAACAATAAAATTTAATAAAAAAATGAACATTTGCCAGCGTTAGAGGAAAAATTTTTCAATTTGAAACAATTAAAAAAAAAACATGAGTAAGTAATGTAATTTTTATTTATGTTACTCCAAGTAAATTTAAGTAGTTTTATTTTATAAATAATTTATATGACACTGAAATTGGTAAACACTTGATAATTTTTTTTTTTTAAATAAACTAGCTCTAAAAAATTGTTTATGAAAATAAATTTAGCAGGTATTTAATAATTTTTAGAATTTTTTTCAACAGATAAATTATGGCAAAAAAAAAAGAGAAGAAAAAATTGACATGGAGAAATTTAAAAAAATAAAAAATGTCATTTTTAAAAAATAAATTTATGTCAAAAGTTTTTCTGTTAAATAAAATTAAAAAATCACCAAATGACTGCTAACTTTAATATCATAAATTATTTTTAAAAAATTGCATTTAAAATTTTTTTTTAATTTCTATGTTAAGTTTTTTTGCCATAGTTTATTTGTTACAAAAATTTTTGAAATGATCAAATATCTACTAAATTAATCTTCATAAAATTTTTCTTGCTATAATTTATTTGTTGAAAAATTTTCAAAAATTATCAGATGTTTCTAAATTTCAGGATCATATAATTTATTATAAATTACTAATATAATAATTTATTTTTGCAATAGGTTGAAACTTGAAGTCTTAAAATGAAGTCTATGACTCATCATCATAATTTCCGAACATCAAAGCCATGGAGAAAAAATTTATACGAAAATCATGGACTACCAGATAATTACACCGACAGTTCATTTTTACATGACCTTCGTAAAAATATAAACCCGAATAATGTAACTACAAAAGAAGCATTGCTACTAGGTGCTAGTATATCAATACAATTGAGTATTGTAATTTTATTTGTAATAGTATTCATTTGGTTAAAAAGTGAATGGGCAACTCCAAATACTGTATTTGTTTACAGTTCATTACTAACAATGGTCGGTTATTTACTTTACATTAAAAAATTTCCTAATATCACTGAAAAAATATCTAAAGATTCTCGTACAGCATTAATATTTCTAGTATTCGGTTATATTTTATCTCCGGTGTTGAAAACATTAACCGAAACTGTAAGCACAGATACTATTTACGCGATGACAATATTTATGTTTTTCATTCATTTGGTATTTAGTAAATACGGTTCACCACCAGTATCATTATCTGATTCTCTGTCAATAACATCATCGATTTTTGGATCATTGATGCTAGCTTCGCGTTTGGTATCATCTCTTCATGCATTTTCTCTTCTCACTGTTGCTGTACAGTGTTTTGTTTTATTGCCATTTTTATTGTCTATCAAACAAGATAACAATATTGTAATATCATTAGTATTAACTTTAATAACACTGTATTATTTAATTAATGTATCAACAATATTATCGTATGTATTTATCATTGTTACTATTTTTATTTCTGTCATCTGTCCATTGTGGTATGTCAGATGGCAGAAATATAAAGATAATATTTATGGACCGTGGGATGAAGCTGTTATTACTAAATAATAAATTTTTTATTTATTGTAATTAAAAAAAAAAATATTTAAGCTAAGTAAAGCAATAACAAGCAATTTTTCTTGTTAAGTAATTCTAATTTATTTATACTTACAATTTTGTATTGATATTTTTTATAAAATTTTTAATATTTTTTTCTTAAGTATGTAAATAAGTTAAAAATTTTCGGTAATTATTTACAAGTGGGGTCAACCCTATTTAGGGCCATAACTAGGTGAAAAATTGACAGTTTCAAATTCTTTTTTAAAATAATATTGTGATAGAAAAAAATAAAGATTTTGATAGCTTTTTTGTCTTCAAAAGTTGGAAAAAATTTTTACTGTCATGTTTTTGGATAAAAATTCTATTTTATCTTTTTTTGATATATTTTTTTTTGAAAAGTATATAAAAAACGAACAATTAAAAAAAAAAGTTAAATATCACAATTTTTTTTTAAATTTGTTAAAATTGTTGTAATCAACTTTTTTTTTAAATTTTTCATTTTTTTTATCTATTTCTCAAAAAAAAAATATGACAATGAAATTTAATAGAGATTTCGTTCAAAAAAATGAAAATTAAAATGGTTGACCCCACTTGTAGATATTTAGCAAAAACTTTAATTTAAAAAACAATATTAATAAAATTTATTTTAATATAATTAAAATGTGAGTATTTGAAAATTTATAATTAATGTATAGTTTTAAATTTTCTGACCGTATCATGAAAAAAATTTTTTTTTTAAATTTCAATTATGAAGTTTACTTAAAAAATTTAAGTTTCATATTTTTACATTTAATGTTAAAATTTTTTCTTATTTATTTATTTTTTTCATGGTATATAAGTACAAATTCACTTAGTTTTTATTGAAATTAAATTAAAACAATATTTTACCATTGAGCTGTATGAAAAACTATTAAAAAAATTATTTCATTTTTGATAAAATTATTTTTATGTTACTAGTTTCATAAACATTGATTAAAGTTTTATTTTTATTTTCATTTGTTTAATTCTAATTTATGTATACTTACAATTTATATTTTTTAAAAAATTTTTAATTTTATCTTCTTTTCAACTATGTAAATAAGTATAAATTTTCATTCAAAAAGCAATATTAATAAAATTTATTTTAATATAATTAAAATGTAAAAATAGTTGAAAATTTATAATTAATGTAAAGTTTTAAATTTCCTTACCGTATCATCATTAAATTTTTAAAATTTTTTTTTCATAGCATATAAGTACAAATTCACTCAGTTTTTATTAAAATGAAATTAAAACAATATTTTACGATTGAGCTGTATGAAAAACTATTAAAAAAATGATTACAATTTTTATAAAATTTATTTTTATGTCACTAGTCTCATAAATATTAATTAAAGTATTATTTCTATATTTTCAATATTGTTAAATTTCATAAAAATTAAAGCTAAAAAAAAAAAAGAATATTTTGTATAAAAATATTTTTTATCATTATTTATTAACACACATTATTATTTATTTTCATTGAAATGATTGTATTTTTCAAAAATTCCTGCCCAAAATTTTATATAAACGCTTATTTTATTAATAAAAATAAGAATACAAATAGGCATTACTTAAAAACAAATTTCACTTAATAGTAATAAATTGTAACAATCGTTTTATCCTTCTGATCAATGCTTCAACAAAAGTTTGTTCAACCATTGAATATTCATGCTGTGACAAGTCAACAATTTGCGTAATAAAACTGTCATTGAGTACACTAACAAGACCTTGCTTTAAATCCGCCAACATATCCGCCGAAACAGCTAAATTATTATCATCTAATCCAACAAATTGGCTCTTATTATACTTAGAACTTGAACTAGTAGTATAAAAGTCTAAATGACTCCAAAGTATATACAAACTATGTTCAACAATAATAGAACAGTATTTAATATTCTTCCTCTTTTCATCAACAGCTTTCTCCAAGCGCTTGCTCACAACAATCTTCTGTTTAGTCATATCTAATTCCATTTCTTCTGGAATTAAATATTTCTTCAAGTCAGTAGACCCCATGTTCTTGACAACACTGATAGTCATAAGCAAGCTGCGCAAATGCGGCAATTCTGAGTGCAGAAGAGTCGTAGCAGAAACAAGCTGATCAAGAATAGAACCAAGTCCAACCCCACAGCTATCATTATTCCGTTTGCTGTCTTTGTGAGTCTTGGTCAAATAAGGTTCAAACAGCAGATTCCTAATTTTTTGATCCATGCGAGTGTGCTGCATCTGATTGCGCGCATAAAGCAAAACATTAGCGACTATTTTAACAGAAGAATATTGCTGCTGAACAACACTTTCTTGGTCATGAGGATAAATCAATGCTTGATTGTTAAATTTGGGCAGCAATGATACCATCAATTTCTGCAATCTGAACAAATGCGCTCTTAGTTCTCTCATACCGTTGTTGCTTTCAGTATTGCTGTCCTTGTTTTCAATATTGATCAGTTCTCGTTCAACCAATTGGTACATATCAATGTTAGCTGACCTGGCAATAACACCAGTCAAGCAAGCAACTTGATTCAAAAATGAATTATTCGTATTAAGAGCCGCCGTACGTAAAATCATCTCAACAGTATCACGATGGCTTTGAATAAAACCACAGACTTGAATGGCACAAGATTGATTTTCCGTGCCTAGGGTCGT